GTGATGGTGGTGAAGGTTGTGTTGGTGGTGAAGATTGTGATGGTGGTGATGAAGATTGTGATGGTAGTGGTGAAGATTGTGATGGTGGTGAAGATTGTGATGGTGGTGATGAAGATTGTGATGGTGATGGTGAAGGTTGTGATGGTGGTGAAGGTTGTGATGGTGGTGGTGAAGATTGTGATGGTGGTGAAGGTTGTGATGGGGGTGGTGAAGGTTGTGATGGTGGTGATGAAGATTGTGATGGTGGTGGTGAAGATTGTGATGGTGGTGAAGATTGATGGTGGTGGTGGTGAATATTGTGATGGTGGTGAAGGTTGTGATGGTGATGAAGATTGTGATGGTGGTGATGAAGATTGTGATGGTGGTGGTGAAGGTTGTGATGGTGGTGAAGGTTGTGATGGTGGTGAAGATTGTGATGGTGGTGAAGATTGTGATGATGGTGGTGAAGGTTGTGGTGGTGGTGGTGAAGGTTGTGATGGTGATGAAGGTTGTGATGGTGGTGAAGGTTGTGATGGTGGTGGTGAAGATTGTGATGGTGGTGATGATGGTGGTGGTGAAGGTTGTGATGGTGGTGAAGGTTGTGATGGTGGTGAAGGTTGTGGTGGTGGTGGTGGTGAAGGTTGTGATGGTGGTGGTGAAGGTTGTGATGGTGGTGATGAAGATTGTGTTGGTGGTGGTGAACGTTGTGATGGTGGTGGTGAAGATTGTGATGGTGGTGGTGAAGGTTGTGATGGTGGTGAAGGTTGTGATGGTGGTGATGATGGTGGTGGTGGTGGTGAAGGTTGTGATGGTGATGAAGGTTGTGATGGTGGTGAAGGTTGTGATGGTGGTGGTGAAGATTGTGATGGTGGTGATGATGGTGGTGGTGGTGAAGGTTGTGATGGTGGTGAAGGTTGTGATGGTGGTGAAGGTTGTGGTGGTGGTGAAGGTTGTGATGGTGGTGGTGAAGGTTGTGATGGTGGTGATGAAGATTGTGATGGTGGTGAAGGTTGTGATGATGGTGGTGAAGATTGTGATGATGGTGGTGAAGATTGTGATGGTGGTGAAGGTTGTGATGGTGGTGGTGAAGGTTGTGATGGTGGTGATGAAGATAGTGATGGTGGTGAAGATTGTGATGGTGGTGAAGGTTGTGATGGTGGTGGTGAAGGTTGTGATGGTGGTGGTGGTGAATATTGTGATGGTGGTGAAAGTTGTGATGATGGTGAAGATTGTGATGGTGGTGAAGATTGTGATGATGGTGGTGAAGGTTGTGATGGTGGTGGTGAAGGTTGTGATGGTGGTGAAGGTTGTGATGGTGGTGGTGAAGGTTGTGATGGTGGTGGTGAAGGTTGTGATGGTGGTGAAGATTGTGATGGTGGTGAAGATTGTGATGGTGGTGAAGGTTGTGGTGATGGTGGTGAAGGTTGTGATGGTGGTGGTGAAGATTGTGATGGTGGTGGTGATGATGGTGGTAATGAAGATTGTGATGGTGGTGATGAAGATTGTGATGGTGGTGGTGATGGTGGGGGTGAAGGTTGTGGTGGTGGTGATGAAGATTGTGATGGTGGTGGTGAAGATTGTGATGGTGGTGATGAAGATTGTGATGGTGGTGGTGAAGATTGTGATGGTGGTGAAGATTGTGATGGTGGTGGTGAAGGTTGTGATGGTGGTGAAGATTGTGATGGTGGTGGTGAATATTTTGATGATGGTGACGAAGATTGTGATGGTGGTGGTGAAGGTTGTGATGGTGAAGGTTATGATGGTGGTGGTGGTGGTGAAGATTGTGATGGTGGTGGTGAAGATTGTGATGGTGGTGAAGGTTGTGATGGTGGTGGTGAAGGTTGTGATGATGGTGAAGATTGTGATGGCAGTGGTGAAGATTGTGATGGTGGTGATGAAGATTGTGATGGTGATGAAAATTGTGATGGTGGTGGGGGGTAATGATGGTGGTGGCAGTGGTGGTGATGAAGCTGGTGTTGATAGTGATGGTGGTGGTGATGAAAAATGTGTTGGTAGTGATGGTGGTGGTGATGAAGATGGTGATGTAGATTGTGATGGTAGTGATGGTAGTGGTGATGAAGATGGTAGTGGTGATGAAGATGGTGGTGGTGATGTAGATTGTGTTGGTAGTGATGGTGGTGGTAGTGATGGTGATGAAGATGGTGATGTAGATTGTGAAGATGGTAGTGATGGTGGTGGTAGTGATGGTGGTGGTGATGAAGATGGTGTTGGTAGTGATGGTGGTGGTGATGAAAATTGTGTTGATAGTGATGGTGGTGGTGATGGTAGTGATGGTGGTGGTGATGTAGATGGTGGTGATGTTAATTGTGAAGATGGTAGTGATGGTGGTAGTGATGGTGGTGGTAGTGATGGTGGTGGTGATGTAGATGGTCGTGATGTAGATTGTGAAGATGGTAGTGATGGTGGTAGTGATGGTGGTGGTGATGAAGATGGTGGTGATGAAGATGGTGTTGGTAGTGATGGTGGTGGTGATGAAAATTGTGTTGGTAGTGCTGGTGGTGTAGTGATGGTGGTGATGATGTAGATGGTGGTGATGTAGATTGTGAAGATGGTAGTGATGGTGGTAGTGATGGTGGTGGTGATGAAGATGGTGGTGATGAAGATGGTGTTGGTAGTGATGGTGGTGGTGATGAAAATTGTGTTGGTAGTGATGGTGGTAGTAGTGATGGTGGTGATGTAGATTGTGTTGGTAGTGATGGTGGTGTAGTGATGGTGGTGGTGATGTAGATGGTGGTGATGTAGATTGTGAAGATGGTAGTGATGGTGGTGGTAGTGATGGTGGTGGTGATGAAGATGGTGTTGGTAGTGATGGTGGTGGTGATGAAAATTGTGTTGGTAGTGATGGTGGTGGTAGTGATGGTGGTGGTGATGAAAATTGTGTTGGTAGTGATGGTGGTGTAGTGATGGTGGTGGTGATGATGTAGATGGTGGTGATGTAGATTGTGAAGATGGTAGTGATGGTGGTGGTGATGAAGATGGTGGTGATGAAGATGGTGTTGGTAGTGATGGTGATGGTGATGAAAATTGTGTTGGTAGTGATGGTGGTAGTAGTGATGGTGGTGATGTAGATTGTGTTGGTAGTGATGGTGGTGTAGTGATGGTGGTGGTGATGTAGATGGTGTTGATGTAGATTGTGAAGATGGTAGTGATGATGGTGGTAGTGATGGTGGTGGTGATGAAGATGGTGGTGATGAAAATGGTGTTGGTAGTGATGGTGGTGGTGATGAAAATTGTGTTGGTAGTGATGGTGGTGGTAGTGATGGTGGTGGTGATGTAGATTGTGTTGGTAGTGGTGGTAGTGCTGGTGGTAGTGATGGTGGTGGTGGTGATGTACATTGTGTTGGTAGTGATGGTAGTGATGGTGGTGGTGATGTAGATTGTGTTGGTAGTGATGGTAGTGATGGTGATGTAGATTGTGTTGGTAGTGGTGGTAGTGATGGTGGTGGTGATGTAGATTGTGTTGGTAGTGATGGTAGTGATGGTGGTGGTGATGTAGATTGTGTTGGTAGTGATGGTAGTGATGGTGGTGGTGATGTTGATTGTGATGGTAGTGATGGTGGTGGTGATGTAGCTTGTGTTGGTAGTGGTGGTAGTGATGGTGGTGGTGATGTAGATTGTGATGGTTGTGATGGTGGTGGTGATGTAGCTTGTGTTGGTAGTGGTGATAGTGATGGTGGTGGTGATGTAGATTGTGATGGTAGTGATGGTGGTGGTGATGTAGATTGTGTTGGTAGTGGTGGTAGTGATGGTGGTGGTGGTAGTGATGGTGGTGGTCATGTAGATTGTGTTGGTAGTGATGGTGGTGGTAGTGATGGTGGTGGTGATAGTAGTGATTGTGGTGGTGATGTAGATGGTGGTGATGTTAATTGTGAAGATGGTAGTGATGGTGGTGGTGATGTAGATTGTGAAGATGGTAGTGCTGGTGGTGGTGATGTAGATTGTGTTGGTAGTGGTGGTAGTGATGGTGGTAGTGATGGTGGTGGTGATAGTAGTGATTGTGGTGGTGATGTAGATGGTGGTGATGTTAATTGTGAAGATGGTAGTGATGATGGTGGTGATGTAGATTGTGATGGTAGTGATGGTGGTGGTGATGTAGATTGTGTTGGTAGTGGTGGTAGTGATGGTGGTGGTGATGTAGATTGTATTGGTAGTGATGGTGGTGGTAGTGATGGTGGTGGTGATGTAGATTGTGTTGGTAGTGATGGTGGTGGTAGTGATGGTGGTGGTGATGTGGCTTGTGTTGGTAGTGGTGGTAGTGATGGTGGTGGTGATGTAGATTGTGTTGGTAGTGATGGTGGTGGTGATGAAAATTGTGTTGGTAGTGATGGTGGTGATGTAGATTGTGTTGGTAGTGGTGGTAGTGATGGTGGTAGTGATGTAGATTGTGTTGGTAGTGGTGGTAGTGATGGTGGTAGTGATGTTGATGGTAGTGATGGTGGTGGTGATGTAGATTGTGTTGGTAGTGGTGGTAGTGTTGGTAGTGGTGGTAGTGATGGTGGTTGTGATGTTGATGGGAGTGTTTGCTGCTGTTAATGTCCACGTGGTGATGATGACGATGCTCAGCTGTGGCTCTCTATCTCTCTATTTATCTCTATGTATCTCTGTGCGTCTCTATGCATCTCTATGTATCTCTGTGTCTCTATGTATCTCTATGTATCTCTGTGTCTCTATGTTTCTCTATGTATGGCTATGGGTCTCTATGTATCTCTATGTATGTCTAAGGGTCTCTATGTATCTCTGTGTCTCTATGTATCTCTATGTGTCTCTGTGTCTCTATGTATCTCTATGCATGGCTGTGGATCTCTATGTATCGCTATGTATCTCTGTCTCTATGTATCTCTATATATGTCTATGAGTCTCTATGGGTATCTATGTATCTCTTTGGGTCTATACGTATCTCTATATATGTCTATGGGTCTCTATGTATCTCTATGGGTCTCTGTGTCTCTATGGGTCTCTATGTATATCTATGTATCTCTATGGGTCTGTGGGTCTCTATGGGTCTCTATGTATCTCTATGTGTCTCTGTGTATTTCTGTGGGTCTGTATGGATCTGTAATGTGAACGTGATGATGATGAGCCGCTATTATTTGTGATGGTCCCAGGTGGCTTCTAAAATTTGAATTTATTAGCTCAGTGGTAGCGTTACCCGGTGAGAAAAAAATATGTGTATTTTACAAACGCGTTTTTTTGTCGTTGTTAATGCTGAGAGTCGCTCGGGAGGACCCGTAGCGTGCAGCGGTCACGGCCGCCGGGAGCCGGGAACCACGTGGGTCCGAGGCGAGTTCACCATCACCAACATCAACAACATCATCAACAACATCATCAACATCAACAACACCATCAACAACATCATCACTAACATCACCAACATCAACAACATCATCAACATCAACAACATCATCAACATCAACAACATCAACAACATCACCAACAACAACATCATCACCATCACTAACATCACCAACAACATCAACAACATCATCAACATCATCAACAACATCATCACCATCACTAACATCACCAACAACACCATCAACAACATCATCACTAACATCACCATCATCAACAACATCATCATTACCATCACTAACATCACCAACAACAACAACATCAACAACATCAACAACGTCATCACTAACAACACCATCACTAACAAAACATCACTAACAACACCATCACTAACATCACCATCACTAACAACACCATCACTAACATCACCATCACTAACATCACCATCACTAACATCACTAACAACACCATCAACAACATCAAATACATCAACAACATCATCAACAACATCAACAACATCATCATCAACAACATCAACAACATCATCACTAACATCACCAATATCACTAACATCACCATCACTAACATCACTAACAACACCATCACTAACATCACCAATATCACTAACATCACCAACAACACCATCACCAACATCAACATCATCAACAACATCAACACTAACATCACTAACATCACCATCAGTAACATCACCACCATCAACAACACTATCACTAACATCACCATCACTAACATCACCAATATCACTAACATCACCATCACTAACATCACTAACAACACCATCACTAACAACACCATCACTAACATCACCATCACTAACATCACCATCACTAACATCACTAACATCACCATCATCAACAACACCATCACCAATATCACTAACATCACTAACATCACCATCATCAACAACACCATCACTAATATCACTAACATCACTAAAATCACCATCATCAACAACACCATCACTAACATCACTAACATCACCATCATCAACAACACCATCACTAATATCACTAACATCACTAAAATCACCATCATCAACAACACCATCACTAACATCACCATCACTAACATCACCATCATCAACAACACCATCACTAACATCACCATCACAGTGTCAGTGTCTGTCTGTGTCTGTCTGTGTCTGTGTCAGTAGCTGGGTGATAACTGCTGCTGCTGCTACTGCTGTGTGGTCTGTAGCCTAGGGGCACCCCCAGTGGCAGCTGTCTCTGTCTGCTGTCAGTAGCTGTGTGATGACTGCTGCTGCTGCTGTGTTCTGTAGCCTAGGGGAACCCCCAGCGGCAGCTGTCAGTAGCTGTGTGATGACTGCTGCTGCTGTGTTCTGTAGCCTAGGGGCACCCCCAGTGGCAGCTGTCCCTGTGTCTGCTGTCAGTAGCTGAGTGATGACTGCTGCTGCTGCTGTGTTCTCTAGCCTAGGGGCACCCCCAGCGGCAGCTGTCCCAGTGGCAGCTGTCAGTACCTGAGTGATGATTGCTGCTGTGTGTTCTGTAGCCTAGGGGCACCCCCAGTGGCAGCTGTCCACCCCCTCCCCGCCCCGTGCTCTGAACGAGCTGTCCGTGCGTCCCACAGCGGTCGCTGGGATGGCGGCTCTCAGGTCCTGGGCGGCTCTGCGCCTCCTGCAAAGGTGGACAACAACAACAAAAACAACAACAACAACAAAAACAACAACAACAGCAGCAGCAGCAGCAGCAGCCTCCACCACCTTCTCCACCACCGCCACGCTCTCCGCGGAGTGGTGGCGCCGCGGTGGTGACGGCGGCCCCGCCCACACCGGCTCTGGCCCCGCCCACACCGGCTCCGGCTCCGCCCACACCGGCTCCGGCTCCGCCCACTCCGGATCCGGCTTCGGCCCCGCCCACACCGGCTCTGGCCCCGCCCACGCCGGCTCCGGCCCCGCCCGCACCGGCTCCGGCCCCGCCCACACCGGCTCCGCCCACACCGGCTTCGGCTCCGGCTCCGCCCACTCCGGCTTCGGCCCCGCCCACTCCGGCTCCGCCCACACCGGCTTCGGCTCCGGCTCCGCCCACTCCGGCTTCGGCCCCGCCCACACCGGCTTCGGCTCCGGCTCCGCCCACTCCGGCTTGGGCTCCGCCCACCCCGGCCACCCCGGCACTGAGGAGGAGGATGAGGAGGCTCTGCTGCAGCTGCGGCTGCACAAGCGGCGGCCGTACCGGCGCTGGGCGTCGCGGGAGCTGCGGGCGGCGCTGCGGCGGCTGCTGGGGCCCAAGTGGGGGCCCGCTGACGACATCCTGCAGGTGGGGGGGGTGGGGGGGTGGTGGGGGGGGTGGGGGGGATGGTGGGGGGGGTGACTTCTGTGGGAGAGTGTGGGGAGGCTGCCAGCAGATGAATGTGTGGACGTGTCTCTGTGTGGTGGGTGGGTGGTTCAAGTGTGTTGGTGGTGGAGGTGGTGGTAGTGGTGGTAGTGGTGATGGTGGAGGTGGTGATGTTGGTGGTGGTGATGGTGGTAGTGGTGGTGGTGGTGATGTGGGTGGTGGTGATGTTGGTGGTGGTGATGGTGGTAGTGGTGGTGGTGGTGATGGTGGTGGTGATGATGATGGTGATGATGATGATGGTGGTGATGGTGGTGGTAGTGGTGGTGGTGGTGATGTGGGTGGTGGTGATGGTGTTGGTGGTGGAGGTGGTGGTAGTGGTGATGGTGGTGATGGTGGAGGTGGTGGTAGTGGTGGTAGTGGTGATGGTGGTGGTGGTGATGGTGGTGGTGGTGATGGTGGTAGTGGTGATGGTGGTGAATGTGAAGGTGATGATGGTGGTGGTGATGATGGTGGTGGTGGTGGTGATGATGATGGTGATGGTAGTGGTAGTGATGATGGTGGTGATGATGATGGTGGAGGTGGTGGTAGTGGTGATGGTGGTGGTGATGATGGTGGTGGTGGTGGTGGTGATGATGATGATGGTGGTGATGATGATGGTGGTGATGATGGTGATGATGGTGGTGGTGGTGGTGATGGTGGTGATGATGGTGATGATGATGATGGTGGTGGTGATGGTGGTGATGGTGATGATGGTGGTGGTGATGGTGGTGATGGTGGTGGTGATGATGATGATGGTGGTGATGATGGTAGTGCTGATGATGATGGTGGTGGTGATGGTGGTGATGATGATGGTGATGGTGGTGGTGATGGTGATGATGATGGTGGTGGTGATAAAGATGGTGATGGTGGTGGTGATGAAGATGGTGATGGTAGTAGTGATGATGATAGTAGTGATGATGATGATGGTGGTGGTGGTGATGAAGATGATGGTGGTGGTGATGAAGATGGTGATGGTGGTGGTGATGAAGATGGTGATGGTGGTGGTGATGAAGATGATGTGGTGGTGATGAAGATGATGGTGGTGGTGATGAAGATGATGGTGGTGGTGATGATGGTGATGATGATGGTGGTAGTGATGATGATGGTGGTGATGATGGTGATGGTAGTAGTGATGATGATAATGCTGATGATGCTGGTGGTGATGAAGATGGTGGTGGTAGTAGTGATGATGATGGTGGTGGTGATGAAGATGGTGATGGTGGTGATGAAGATGATGATGATGGTGATGAAGATGATGATGGTAGTGGTGATGATGATGATGGTGGTGGTGGTGATGAAGATGATGGTGATGGTAGTGATGATGATGATGGTAGTAGTGATGATGATGATGGTGGTGGTGGTGATGAAGATGGTGATGGTGGTGATGAAGATGATGATGGTGGTGGTGATGAAGATGGTGATGGTGGTGGTGATGAAGATGGTGATGGTGGTGATGAAGATGGTGATGGTAGTAGTGATGATGATAGTAGTGATGATGATGATGGTGGTGGTGGTGATGAAGATGATGGTGGTGGTGATGAAGATGGTGATGGTGGTGGTGATGAAGATGATGGTGGTGGTGATGAAGATGGTGATGGTAGTAGTGATGATGATAGTAGTGATGATGATGATGGTGGTGGTGGTGATGAAGATGATGGTGGTGGTGATGAAGATGGTGATGGTGGTGGTGATGAAGATGGTGATGGTGGTGGTGATGAAGATGATGGTGGTGGTGATGGTGATGATGATGGTGGTGGTGATGAAGATGGTGATGGTGGTGGTGATGAAGATGGTGATGGTAGTAGTGATGATGATAGTAGTGATGATGATGATGGTGGTGGTGGTGATGAAGATGATGGTGGTGGTGATGAAGATGGTGATGGTGGTGGTGATGAAGATGGTGATGGTGGTGGTGATGAAGATGATGTGGTGGTGATGAAGATGATGGTGGTGGTGATGAAGATGATGGTGGTGGTGATGATGGTGATGATGATGGTGGTAGTGATGATGGTGATGGTAGTAGTGATGATGATAATGCTGATGATGCTGGTGGTGATGAAGATGGTGGTGGTAGTAGTGATGATGATGGTGGTGGTGATGAAGATGGTGATGGTGGTGATGAAGATGATGATGATGGTGATGAAGATGATGATGGTAGTGGTGATGATGATGATGGTGGTGGTGGTGGTGATGAAGATGATGGTGATGGTAGTGATGATGATGATGGTAGTAGTGATGATGATGATGGTGGTGGTGGTGATGAAGATGGTGATGGTGGTGATGAAGATGATGATGGTGGTGGTGATGAAGATGGTGATGGTGGTGGTGATGAAGATGGTGATGGTGGTGATGAAGATGGTGATGGTAGTAGTGATGATGATAGTAGTGATGATGATGATGGTGGTGGTGGTGATGAAGATGATGGTGGTGGTGATGAAGATGGTGATGGTGGTGGTGATGAAGATGGTGATGGTGGTGATGAAGATGATGTGGTGGTGATGAAGATGGTGATGGTGGTGGTGATGAAGATGGTGATGGTGGTGATGAAGATGGTGATGGTAGTAGTGATGATGATAGTAGTGATGATGATGATGGTGGTGGTGGTGATGAAGATGATGGTGGTGGTGATGAAGATGGTGATGGTGGTGGTGATGAAGATGATGGTGGTGGTGATGAAGATGGTGATGGTAGTAGTGATGATGATAGTAGTGATGATGATGATGGTGGTGGTGGTGATGAAGATGATGGTGGTGGTGATGAAGATGGTGATGGTGGTGGTGATGAAGATGGTGATGGTGGTGGTGATGAAGATGATGGTGGTGGTGATGGTGATGATGATGGTGGTGGTGATGAAGATGGTGATGGTGGTGGTGATGAAGATGGTGATGGTAGTAGTGATGATGATAGTAGTGATGATGATGATGGTGGTGGTGGTGATGAAGATGATGGTGGTGGTGATGAAGATGGTGATGGTGGTGGTGATGAAGATGGTGATGGTGGTGGTGATGAAGATGATGTGGTGGTGATGAAGATGATGGTGGTGGTGATGAAGATGATGGTGGTGGTGATGATGGTGATGATGATGGTGGTAGTGATGATGGTGATGGTAGTAGTGATGATGATAATGCTGATGATGCTGGTGGTGATGAAGATGGTGGTGGTAGTAGTGATGATGATGGTGGTGGTGATGAAGATGGTGATGGTGGTGATGAAGATGATGATGATGGTGATGAAGATGATGATGGTAGTGGTGATGATGATGATGGTGGTGGTGGTGATGAAGATGATGGTGATGGTAGTGATGATGATGATGATGGTAGTAGTGATGATGATGATGGTGGTGGTGGTGAGGAAGATGGTGATGGTGGTGATGAAGATGATGATGGTGGTGGTGATGATGATGGTGGTGGTGATGAAGATGGTGATGGTGGTGGTGATGAAGATGGTGATGGTGGTGATGAAGATGGTGATGGTAGTAGTGATGATGATAGTAGTGATGATGATGATGGTGGTGGTGGTGATGAAGATGATGGTGGTGGTGATGAAGATGGTGATGGTGGTGGTGATGAAGATGATGGTGGTGGTGATGAAGATGGTGATGGTAGTAGTGATGATGATAGTAGTGATGATGATGATGGTGGTGGTGGTGATGAAGATGATGGTGGTGGTGATGAAGATGGTGATGGTGGTGGTGATGAAGATGGTGATGGTGGTGGTGATGAAGATGATGGTGGTGGTGATGGTGATGATGATGGTGGTGGTGATGAAGATGGTGATGGTGGTGGTGATGAAGATGGTGATGGTAGTAGTGATGATGATAGTAGTGATGATGATGATGGTGGTGGTGGTGATGAAGATGATGGTGGTGGTGATGAAGATGGTGATGGTGGTGGTGATGAAGATGGTGATGGTGGTGGTGATGAAGATGATGTGGTGGTGATGAAGATGATGGTGGTGGTGATGAAGATGATGGTGGTGGTGATGATGGTGATGATGATGGTGGTAGTGATGATGGTGATGGTAGTAGTGATGATGATAATGCTGATGATGCTGGTGGTGATGAAGATGGTGGTGGTAGTAGTGATGATGATGGTGGTGGTGATGAAGATGGTGATGGTGGTGATGAAGATGATGATGATGGTGATGAAGATGATGATGGTAGTGGTGATGATGATGATGGTGGTGGTGGTGATGAAGATGATGGTGATGGTAGTGATGATGATGATGATGGTAGTAGTGATGATGATGATGGTGGTGGTGGTGAGGAAGATGGTGATGGTGGTGATGAAGATGATGATGGTGGTGGTGATGATGATGGTGGTGGTGATGAAGATGGTGATGGTGGTGGTGATGAAGATGGTGATGGTGGTGATGAAGATGGTGATGGTAGTAGTGATGATGATAGTAGTGATGATGATGATGATGGTGGTGGTGATGAAGATGGTGATGGTGGTGGTGATGAAGATGGTGATGGTGGTGATGAAGATGGTGATGGTAGTAGTGATGATGATAGTAGTGATGATGATGATGGTGATGGTAGTAGTGATGATGATAGTAGTGATGATGATGATGGTGGTGGTGGTGGTGATGAAGATGGTGATGGTGGTGGTGATGAAGATGATGGTGGTGGTGATGAAGATGGTGATGGTAGTAGTGATGATGGTGATGGTAGCAGTGATGATGATGGTAGTAGTGATGATGAAGATGGTAGTAGTGATGATGGTGGTGATGAAGATGATGGTGGTGGTGGTGATGGCGGTGGAGGCGACGACGGAGCCCTCGGTGAGCCAAGCGACGACAGCTCGCAGCTGACCGGCCTCCCCCCCACCTCCCCCCACCTCCCCCCCCACCTCCCCCCCCCACCTCCCCCCCCCCCCACCCCCCCAGGTGGGTGCCCCCGTGCTGCGCTTGCCGGCGCGGGCGCTGCTGAGCGACGAGGTGGCGGGCGACGAGGTGGCGGGCGACGAGGTGGCGGGCCTGGTGCTACGCCTGGTGGCGGCGCTCAGGGCCAGTGACTCGAGTGGACTCAGTGCCCCGCAGATCGGGGAGTCGGTGCAGGTGGTGACGGCACCACCACCGCAACCACAACCACCAACACCACCAACACCACCACAACAACCACCACCACAACAACCACAGCCACCACCACAACAACCAACACCACCAACACCACCAACACCACCAACACCAACACCACCAACACCAACACCACCAACACCACAACCACCACCAACACCAACACCACAACCACCACCACAACAACCACAGCCACCACCACAACAACCAACACCACCAACACCACCAACACCACCAACACCAACACCACCAACACCAACACCACCAACACCACAACCACCACCAACACCAACACCACAACCACCACCACAACCACCACCACCACCACCACAACAACCACCAACACCACCACAACAACCACCACAACAACAGCCACCACCAACACCACCACAACCACCACCACCACCACAACAACCACCAACACCACCACCGCCACCACCAACACCACCGCAAAAACCACCACCACCAACACCACCACCAACAACAACCACCAACACCAACACCACCACCACCACCACCACCCCTAACCACCACCACAACCACCACCACCGCCCCCAGGTGATGGTGATGGAGGTGACGGAGCGTCAGCTACATTCTTCACCACCACCACCACCACCACAACCACCACCATCACCACCACCCCCCCTAACCACCACCACCACCACCCCCCCTAACCACCACCACCACCACCCCCCCTAACCACAACCACCACCACCACCCCTAACCACCACCATATCCACCACCGCCCCCAGGTGATGGTGATGGAGGTGACGGAGCGTCAGCTACATTCTTCACCACCACCACCACCACCCCCCCTAACCACCACCACAACCACCACCACCACCCCTAACCACCACCACCGCCACCGCCCCCAGGTGATGGTGATGGAGGTGACGGAGCGTCAGCTACATTCTTCACCACCACCACCACCACCCCCCCTAACAACTACCACCACAACCACCACCACCACCCCTAACCACAACCACCACAACCACCACCACCGCCACCGCCCCCAGGTGATGGTGATGGAGGTGACGGAGCGTCAGCTACATTCTTCACCACCACCACCACCACCCCCCCTAACAACTACCACCACAACCACCACCACCACCCCTAACCACAACCACCACAACCACCACCACCGCCACCGCCCCCAGGTGATGGTGATGGAGGTGACGGAGCGTCAGCTACATTCTTCACCACCACCACCACCACCCCCCCTAACAACTACCACCACAACCACCACCACCACCCCTAACCACAACCACCACAACCACCACCACCACCACCGCCCCCAGGTGATGGTGATGGAGGTGACGGAGCGTCAGCTACATTCTTCACCACCACCACCACCACCCCCCCTAACAACTACCACCACAACCACCACCACCACCCCTAACCACAACCACCACAACCACCACCACCACCACCGCCCCCAGGTGATGGTGATGGAGGTGACGGAGCGTCAGCTACATTCTTCACCACCACCCCCACTAACCACCACCACCACCGCCCCCAGGTGATGGTGATGGAGGTGACGGAGCGTCAGCTACATTCTTCACCACCACCACCACCCCTAACCACCACAACCACCACCACCACCACCACCCCTAACTACCACCACCACCACCGCCCCCAGGTGATGGTGATGGAGGTGACGGAGCGTCAGCTGGCTCGACATCCGGCCTCCCGTCGCCGTGCCCACGGGATGGTTCCCGTGCCGCTCAGCGTGTTCATCAACCCGTCGGTGCGGCCGCTGGCCGGCTCGGCCCTCACCGTCCTGCCCGAGCGGTGCGCCAGCGTCCGCCGGTTCGCCGCCTGTGTACCGCGCCACGATGCCGTGGTCCTCACTGGTGAGCTGCCGGCCATGGGAACGTGGAGTGGCGCTTAGCCGGGGTGGGGGGGGTTTGATTGGAGAGACACTGACAGGTGAGACAGTGACTCACTACTCTGACAGGTGAGACACTGACTCACTACTCTGACAGGTGAGACAGTGACTCACTACTCTGACAGGTGAGACAGTGACTCACTACTCTGACAGGTGAGACAGTGACTCACTACTCTGACAGGTGAGACAGTAACTCACTACTCTGACAGGTGAGACAGTAACTCACTACTCTGACAGGTGAGACAGTAACTCGCTACTCTGACAGGTGAGACACTGACTCACTACTCTGACAGGTGAGACAGTAACTCACTACTCTGACAGGTGAGACAGTGACTCACTACTCTGACAGGTGAGACAGTAACTCACTACTCTGACAGGTGAGACAGTGACTCACTACTCTGACAGGTGAGACAGTGACTCACTACTCTGACAGGTGAGACAGTGACTCACTACTCTGACAGGTGAGACAGTGACTCACTACTCTGACAGGTGAGACAGTAACTCACTACTCTGACAGGTGAGACAGTGACTCACTACTCTGACAGGTGAGACAGTAACTCACTACACTGACAGGTGAGACACTAACTCACTACTCTGACAGGTGAGACACTAACTCACTACTCTGACAGGTGAGACAGTGACTCACTACTCTGACAGGTGAGAAAGTGACTCACTACTCTGACAGGTGAGACAGTAACTCACTACTCTGACAGGTGAGACAGTAACTCACTACTCTGACAGGTGAGACACTAACTCACTACTCTGACAGGTGAGACAGTAACTCACTACTCTCACAGGTGAGACACTGACTCACTACTCTGACAGGTGAGCCAGTAACTCACTACTCTGACAGGTGAGACAGTAACTCACTACTCTGACAGGTGAGACAGTAACTCACTACTCTCGCAGGTGAGACACTGACTCACTACTCTGACAGGTGAGTCACTGACTCACTACTCTGACAGGTGAGTCACTGACTCACTACTCTGACAGGTGAGACAGTAACTCACTACTCTGACAGATGAGACAGTAACTCACTACTCTGACAGGTGAGACAGTGACTCACTACTCTGACAGGTGAGACACTGACTCACTACTCTGACAGGTGAGACAGTAACTCACTACTCTGACAGGTGAGCCAGTAACTCACTACTCTGACAGGTGAGACAGTGACTCACTACTCTGACAGATGAGACAGTAACTCACTACTCTGACATGTGAGACAGTAACTCACTACTCTGACAGGTGAGCCAGTAACTCACTACTCTGACAGGTGAGACAGTGACTCACTACTCTGACAGGTGAGACAGTAACTCACTACTCTGACAGGTGAGACACTAACTCACTACTCTGACAGGTGAGACACTGACTCACTACTCTGACAGGTGAGACAGTAACTCACTACTCTGACAGGTGAGACAGTAACTCACTACTCTGACAGGTGAGACAGTAACTCACTACTCTGACAGGTTAGCCAGTAACTCACTACTCTGACAGGTGAGACACTAACTCACTACTCTGACATGTGAGACAGTAACTCACTACTCTGACAGGTGAGACACTGACTCACTACTCTGACAGGTGAGACAGTAACTCACTACTCTGACAGGTGAGACAGTAACTCACTACGCTGACAGGTGAGACAGTAACTCACTACTCTGACAGGTGAGACAGTAACTCACTACTCTGACAGGTGAAACAGTGACTCACTACTCTGACAGGTGAGACAGTAACTCACTACTCTGACAGGTGAGCCAGTAACTCACTACTCTGACAGGTGAGACAGTGACTCACTACTCTGACAGTTGAGACAGTGACTCACTACTCTGACAGGTGAGACAGTAACTCACTACACTGACAGGTGAGACAGTAACTCACTACTCTGACAGGTGAGACAGTGACTCACTACTCTGACAGGTGAGACAGTGACTCACTACACCAACAGGTGAGACACTAACTCACTACTCTGACAGGTGAGACAGTGACTCACTACTCTGACAGGTGAGACAGTAACTCACTACTCTGACAGGTGAGACAGTAACTCACTACTCTGACAGGTGAGTCAGTAACTCACTACTCTGACAGATGAGACAGTAACTCACTACTCTGACAGGTGAGACAGTAACTCACTACTCTGACAGGTGAGCCAGTAACTCACTACTCTGACAGGTGAGACAGTAACTCACTACTCTGACAGGTGAGACAGTGACTCACTACTCTGACAGGTGAGACAGTGACTCACTACTCTGACAGGTGAGACACTGACTCACTACTCTGACAGGTGAGACAGTAACTCACTACTCTGACAGGTGAGACACTGACTCACTACTCTGACAGGTGAGACACTGACTCACTACTCTGACAGGTGAGACAGTGACTCACTACTCTGACAGGTGAGACAGTAACTCACTACTCTGACAGGTGAGACACTGACTCACTACTCTGACAGGTGAGACAGTGACTCACTACTCTGACAGGTGAGCCAGTAACTCACTGCTCTGACAGGTGAGACACTGACTCACTACTCTGACAGGTGAGACAGTAACTCACTACTCTGACAGGTGAGACACTGACTCACTACTCTGACAGGTGAGACACTGACTCACTACTCTGACAGGTGAGACAGTGACTCACTACTCTGACAGGTGAGACAGTAACTCACTACTCTGACAGGTGAGACACTGACTCACTACTCTGACAGGTGAGACAGTAACTCACTACTCTGACAGGTGAGACAGTAACTCACTACTCTGACAGGTGAGTCACTGACTCACTACACCGACAGGTGAGACACTGACTCACTACACCAACAGGTGAGTCACTAACTCACTACTCTGACAGGTGAGACACTGACTCACTACACCGACAGGTGAGTCACTGACTCACTACTCTGACAGGTGAGACAGTAACTCACCACTCTCACAGGTGAGCCAGTGACTCACTACTCTCACAGGTGAGCCAGTGACTCACTACTCTGACAGGTGAGACAGTAACTCACCACTCTCACAGGTGAGCCAGTGACTCACTACTCTGACAGGTGACTCACTGACTCACTACACCGACAGGTGAGTCACTGACTCACTACTCTGACAGGTGAGACACTGACTCACTACACCGACAGGTGAGTCACTGACTCACTACTCTGACACCACCTCCCTCCCTCCCCCCACGTGTCCCAGGTCTGAACGAGCGTGGCGAGTCGGTGTCCGTGCAGCTGAGGGGCTTTGCGGCCCGCGTGGCCCAGCACGAGGTGGACCACCTCCAGGGAGTCCTCTACCTCGAGCGCATGGACCCCGCCACGCTCGTGGACATGCACTGGGAGGAGTAGCGGGCTGGGTGGGGGAGGGGCTTGCGGGGAGGGGAGGGGCTGGGTGGGAGGGGCTAGCGGGGAAGGGAGGGGCTAGGGGGGAAGGGAGGGGCTGGAGGGGAGGGGCTAGGGGGGAAGGGAGGGGCTGAGGGGCGAGGGGATCCGACACGCTGGTGGACACGCACTGGGAGGAGTCGCGGACTGGGTGGGAGGGGCTAGGGGGAGGGGCTAGCGGGGAAGGGGAGGGGCTGGGTGGGAGGGGCTAGCGGGGAAGGGATGGGCTAGCGGGGAAGGGAGGGGCTGGGTGGGTGGGGCTAGGGGGGAAGGGAGGGGCTGGGGGGAGGGGCTAGCGGGGAAGGGAGGGGCCTGGTGGGAGGGGCTTGGGGGGAAGGGAGGGGCTGGAGGGGAGGGGCTAGCGGGGAAGGGAGGGGCTAGCGGAGAAGGGAGGGTCCTGTTGGGAGGGGCTAGGGGGGAAGGGAGGGGCTGAGGGGGAGGGGCTAGGGGGGAAGGGAGGGGCTGGAGGGGAGGGGCTAGGGGGGAATGGAGGGGCTGAGGGGGAGGGGCGAGGGGACCCCGCTACGTTCGTGGACACGCACTGGGAGGAGTAGCGGACTGGGTGGGAGGGGCTAAGGGGGAGGGGCTAGGGGGGAAGGGAGGGGCTAGCGGGGAAGGGAGGGGCTGGGTGGGGCTAGGGGGGAAGGGAGGGGCTGGGGGGACGGGCTAGGGGGGAAGGGAGGGGCTGAGGGGGAGGGGCTAGGGGAGGGGCTAGAGGCGAAGGGAGGGGCTGAGGGGGAAGGGCGAGGGGGGAAGGGAGGGGCTGGGTGGGAGGGGCAGGAGGCGAGGAGGAGGGGGGTAGGAAGAGCTGGGGTGGGCGGGGTTTCGTGTCGGTGGGGCGGGGGGCTGGTGCGGAGAGGGGATGGGGGCCGCGGGGAGGGTGGGGGGTGGGCGATGGGAGGGGAGGGGGGCCAGGGGGGAAAAGGGGAGGGTGGGCGGGGGGGGAGAGGGGAGGGGCCACTGTGGGGTGGGGGTGGGGTGGGAGAAAGCTAACTTTGTGTCTAAAAAATTATATGTTCGGCTTTGCCTTCCTCCGGTACGAATGAAGATTTCAGTTTTTTGATGATTCTGTTTGAGAGAGGGGGGTGGTGGGTGGAGAAAATAAAAACCACGACACAGAGGGTGGGGGGCAGCTGAGTTTGTGGGTTGTTCAGATGAAGAGTCGCTTGTGGGTGTGTGTGTGGGTGAGTGAGTGGCGTCTGTGAATGACGGTGCTGTGGGAGGGGGGAGGGCCAATTCCAATTGGCCCTCCCAATTGACGCTCACAACAACGAGTGGAGTGATGCTCACAACAACGAGCGGAGCGCCGGGTGGCTAAAGCACAGCGGGTTGGCACAGTTAGGGGGCACAGGTGGTGCATCAGCCAGTCATCTCAGTCATCTCAGTCAGTCGACCCGTGGCACCTGCTGGGTCTGCCCCGTGACCTCCTACCAGCGGGCGTTCGACACTGTGGCCTCAACGTGCACCTAGCCTGGCACAAGTGTCGTGGTGACGTCACTGCCACTTAGTGGCGAATGGCGGTTGTTGTCGTGAGGGAGTGGATTAATGGGTGGGTGGAGTTGGTGGGCGTGTGGGTGAGTGAGTGGGTGTGTAGGTGAATGGGTGGGTGAGTTGGTGGATGAGTGGGTGGGTGTGTGGGTGAGTAGGTAAGTGGGTGACTGGGTGGGTGTGTGGTTGAGTGAGAGCTTGGGTGGGTGGGCGAGTGAGGGAGTGGGTGGGTGTGTGGGTGAGTGGGTAAGTGGGTGGTGTGTAGTTGAGTGAGATAGTGGGTGGGTGGGCGAGTGAGGGAGTGGGTGGGTGGGTTGGTGAGTGGGCGAGTGGGCGATTTGGTGTTTGAATGTGTATGTGAGTGAATGAGTCAGTGAGTGAATCCGTGAATGAATAAGTGAGTGAATGAGTGTTCATGGTCATGTGACCGCTCCGCAGTTGATAGGCGCTAAGCACTGCGCCACCGCTCCACGTACACACACAGCCACTAAAGACAAAGATCCCCCGTGCTGCCTGCCGAGACTATTGGAGCAAGAGAATCACAGAGAGAGCCACTCGCACACACACAGACACTAACTCACACACAGAGAGAGCCTCACAGACACTGACTCACACACACATAGAGACTCGCACACACAGACACTGACTCACACATAGAGACTCACAGACACTGACTCACACGCAGAGAGAGCCTCACACACACAGACACTGACTCACACACAGAGACACACACACAGACACTGACTCACACACAGAGAGAGCCTCACACACAGACACTAACTCACACACAGGGACTCACACACACACTGACTCACACACAGAGAGAGCCTCACACACAGACACGGACTCACACATAGAGAGAGCCTCACACACAGACACTGACTCACACACAGAGAGAGACTCACACACACAGACACTGACTCGCACACAGATAGACTAAAGAGAGACAGAGCGAGACACAGACATTGACTCACACACACACATAGACACTGACTCACACAGACACACTGACTCACATAGACACTGACTCACACAGACACACACACACAGACACAGCCCACACACACAGATACACCCACACAACCCACAGCACAAACAAGATAACACACACACAGACACAGATACACCCACACAGCCCACACACACACACAGGCACACCCACACAGCACCACAGCACAAACAAGATAACATACACACAGACACACACCCACATACAGACACACACCCACACACAACCCACAGCACAAACAAAACCAACACACAAACAGACACACACAGCCCACACACAGACACACACAGCCCACACACAGCCCACACACACACAGACACACACACCCACACACAACCCACAGCACAAACAAGACAAACACGCCAATATAATGACGACTGCGCGTGATGATGATCATGATGAGGGTCGCGCGCACGCACGCGGAGCCTGCACGTGACTGTCTCCCAGTGAGGGCGCCTGGGTTAGACTCCGGACCGTAGTCCATGGGGTTGTGGCGGTGGTGGTGGTTGTGGTGGTGGTGGTGGCGGTAGTGGTGGTTGTGGTGGTGGTGGTAGTGTTGGTGGTTGTGGTTGTGGTAGTATTGGTGGTAGTGGTAGTGGTGGTAGTGGTGGTGGTTGTGGTGGTGGTGTTTGTGGTAGCGGTGGTGGTAGTGTTGGTGGTAGTGGTGGTGGTAGTATTGGTGGTGGTAGTGGTGGTAGTGGTGGTGGTGGTGTTTGTGGTAGCGGTGGTGGTAGTGTTGGTGGTAGTGGTGGTGGTTGTGTTGGTGATGGTGGTAGTGGTGGCGGTGGTGGTTGTGTTGGTGGTGGTGGTAGTGGTGGTGGTTGTGTTGGTGGTGGTTGTAGTGGTGGGGGCTCTGGACGGGTGCGAGGGGCTCCTAACCCCTCCACCTTCAAATAAACGACCACTAAACCACGGAAAAAATATCCAGCTAAGCTTGTGCCGGAGGCCCCGGGGGGACATGCGTCTATGACGTCTCCTGGCCGAACCCCAATTGGCGGAGCCAGGAGACCGAATCCTTACCCTCGGGGCTCCTCCAGAAACAGCAAAAAGCCACTGCGGGTGGCCACGTGGAATGTTCGAACGCTCACTGCGGAGGAGAGGCTGCCACTCCTCTGTCGGGAGCTGGACCGGTACCGCCTGGATCTCTGCGGTATTCAGGAGGTCCGGTGGACCGTCTCTGGCTCCTGCCACCATGAGGGGTGGACAGTCCTCTACTCGGGGCAGAAGACTGCCAAACAACAGGGTGTGGCTCTTCTTCTGAACAAAAGAATGAAGGGGGCGTGGGAGCGTGGCGGTGGGTTGTGGGAAGCTGTAAGCCTCAGGCTACTTTGGGCTCGCCTTCCCATCAACAGGAAGCGAGGAATGGTGGTCGTGGTTACTTATGCCCCCACCGAAGATGAGCATCAGTCGAGGGATGCAGGCAAAGCCGATGGGTCAGATGCCTTCTATGACCTGTCACAGGTGCTGGCTAAAGTGGCCCCGCAGGATAGAGTCATCATGTTGGGTGACTTCAATGCCCGAGTTGGTCATGATGCTGGCACCTGGTCTGGAGTGATTGGAGGGCATGGGCCAGATCAGCTCAATAACAGCAGGAGGCTGCTAGACTTTCGTGCAGCCCATGGGCTTGTATTTACCAACACGCTGTTCCGGCATCAGCGCATCCACTCAACATCATAGATGCATGCCGGGTCCAAGCAAGAACATCTGCTGGACTTCATAGTGACGGACCAGTGGATGTGAGCCCATGTCCTTGACACCAGAACCTACCGTGGAGCTGATCTGCCCACTGACCATCGACTAGTCATCTTCCACTCCGGTGGTGGGTGTACACCCAGGACCCCGTTCAAACCCACGGTGGTATGGTCTCAGCTAGCTGATGAAAGTTGCAAGCGACAATTTCATCATTGCTTGCAGCTGGGTTTTGGCATCGTCCCCCACTCCTGATGTCGAGGGTAAATGGGTGAGGTTTAGGACTGTGGCTCATACAGCTGCAATGGCTGCATTGGGTACGTGGTCCAGACCTCCTCAGAGACGCTGGCTGACAGAGGAGGTGTTCAGGTTGGATGTGAAAAGCGACAGGCCCACTCTCATCGTCTACAGCATCCACAGAGAATGAGGAGGCTTACCGCAGTCTTCGCTCAGAGGTTCGGAGAGCTGTGAGGCGCTGCAAGGATGGGTGGTGATCGCGGGTTGCTGAGGAGATGGAGTCTGCCTCAGTGGCCCGCGATCACAAATCTCTATTTAACTCCATCAAAAAAGTAACCTGCAGCGCCACACCTATTACCATCGTTAGGGGAAAAAACGGTGATCCAATCTCCGACCCCCAGGAACAGGTTTGCAGATTTGCTGAGCATTTCTGTGGGATCGAGGGGGAGGGGAAATCCCTCAGCCTGGAAAACATCATGGGACAAAGTGGGGATGACCCTGCTGAGGCTGCGGTGCCTCAAATATTGGAGGAGGAAGTCACCCCCTGTGAGTGGCTGGCTGAAGTGTCATCTGTTG